AAAAGATTACATTATGAATACCAGAGAGGATTAACACGGAATTCTTGGTAAATGACGAAAGAGAGAGAAAACTCGAGCTATATAAAATGTAATCCCTTTTTTTTCCCCCCCATATGAATTCTGTACAAAAGGGAAAAATGATTTTGAGAGATATTATAGGGAAAAACGACGATAGCTTTCAGCTTGGTCGATTAAAATCGAGGTACTTTATCGCGAGTCTCCTAGGACTTCCGAGCACAGGAAGTAGAAGAGGAGATTGCTTCGAAATCACTTTACTTTCTCGTAATTCATCTCCGCGGTCCGTTCGAAGGGTCCACGAAAGTAGTCTCGATATTATTCTTGTATTTCACAAAACGTATGGACACATTTTTTTAGTCTAGAGAGAACAAGCAAAAATTCGATTGTATGTGTGTGTGAGTTTGTTATTTTTAAACAGAGATTGAAAATAAATATTCGAAGAAAGCCGTAAAGCCAAGGATATACATTTTTAGATATTCGCGTATAAAGATAAACATGATAGCATTGTAATTTTGAAAATTTCGTAATGACTAACGCACGTCGTCGCGGCCTTCGAGAAGAAGTTGGTTCTGTGTTATTCTTTAGCCGGCTAAAAAGATCGCACGGGTTAACGGGAATTTACGAAATTCTTCTTAAGCCGTACCGAAAAGTGTTGGTAGCCGATGCTACGAGTAGTAAGTACCTTGCCAAGGAAAACACCATCGAGAAGCACGCGCGATTAATCTACGTCGGCCGTTAGCAAAGCACTCTCTTCTTCTCGTCGAAGAGGAAGCCTTGAAATTCGAGAGACTAAAAGGCAAAAAAGCCTTTCAAAAAATATCCTCTTCTATCGTACGATAAAGAAACGAGTAAACCAATAAATTGTCCATTTCTATTGATTTTTGTTCTTTTTAACAAACATTTCATTACGAAACGAAACGAAATGAATTTACAATTTCTGTATTTTTCGTGAGTTCGCATGATAGATCAAATTGCAAAGATACATATATATATATGTACATTATAACGTAAACGTAAATACGAGTTTATAATATTATGCTACAATTAAAATATGTAGATACACGTTCGTATATAAATCTTATACCTTACGTGCTATTAAACTTGACGAAGCGAATGAATGAATCGCTATGAATGAAGCGGCTTGTCCAAAGAACCCATCTAGTGAATGGGATACGCCCGGTTGTACGATGCGTACGCACGCACGCAGGCACGCAGGCACGCACGTTCACGCAGGAAACGGTCTCTACGAATACTCGAATGATTTTTATCCTAATTCAATACTAAAGCTAGTTAAGGAGGAAGTCGTAAACCTATTTCATCCTTAACGTCTTAGAAAATGATTGCCGTTCCAATAGAATTAGCTTTATAGTCGACACGATTTAAGTTTCTGTTGAAATCGCTGCTTACTCGGGATGACGAAACGTAGAATTAAAAATAAGAAATTAGTAGAAAACGAGACGGATTAAAATTATTTCATCAACCGTATGTGATTTCGATCGAAGGATCAATTATATTCAAAAACCTGTGATATAATTATCTGGTAGAAAGGTGTTTCCAGCAAGGATCACGGCCTCGTCGAGACTTATGCGCTTTCCCACAACGAGTACCTATCTCCTTCACGTTTCAGTCAAAATTATAGGCTGCCTATTACACAGTTAGAACGATACTAGAATAACCAAGGGAGAAAGATTGAACGAAAATAAGAAAAGTGCGTGCTTCCTTTCTCGCCTTGGCCACTAAATTGTACGATTGTTAAAGCATCCAGCGTGTTAAAACGATAGGCGGTAAAAGCAATGAAAGAGAACGAGGAAAAGAGCCAATGAGACTTACGATCTAAAGAAAGAGAGAGGGAGGAGAAATGAAGAAAGCTGGACAAAGAGAAGGAGCTTGCTTTTCCACGAACGCGCCAAACGATAATTATGAAATTCCTGCAAAATGCTTTTGCACGCAATCAACGTAAAACGAACGCACGTGTGTGTACAAGGCTCGGCACGGTTTATTCAAGCAACTCGAGTCGAACACGAAACGAGTCGATCCTCTTCGTCCTTTCTGCATAGTTTCTAGTCATCCATCTCTCTTTCCCTCACACATACACACACACGCACACGCATACTCGCTCACATTCTCTCTCTCTCTCTCTCTCTCTTTATCTCTCTCAGATCTCTCGTCGCAACTCGCAGTCTTTTCGAGCAAAGCGCGAGCCGCGTAAAATGCCTCTCATACTTTGACGGTTATTACGGATTCCTCAGCGAGTGAGGATACACGCGAGAGTGCTGGTAAACGCGTACTACAAAATAAAGAGGAACGAAGGAAACGAGAATCAGCTCGCGTGCAACGCCTCACCTCTTCGATAATTAACAAACTCTCCTACTACTCCTTCGGTAGGTATATGACATGCACATCTTCAGTTTCCTATTCGCTCTCGATGAAATCGTAAACGATGTTACGATTATGGTTGAATGAACCGGCTTGTTACCGCGCATTCTCATCGAGGAAGAATCTTCTTCTTCTCGAGTATACACTCCTTTACGATCCTTCTCTTTCGCCGATCTTCCTCTCTCTCTCTCTCTCTTACATTATGATGTAATATCAAACTAGAAACTAGTTCTAATCGTTTCGATAGAGTCATTCGAAATATAATCTCGTGACGCTTATTCTAACTCTTGAGAAACCATAAGGAAGTGGACAAATGTAACTTTCTTACTCTCACTCTCACCTTCTCTCTCTCTCTCTCCCTCTCTCTCTCTTATTCAAGAAAGCATTGTCTATTTCTTTCTATTAACTCTCTTAGTATCCTTATTTCTCTCTCTCTTTCTCTCTCTCTCTCTCTCTCTCTCTCCGTTTCTATCCCCCGGTAATTCTGGATCGTAACATATCTCACGTAGAATTAATTGAGTCTCGCTCTCCGAGTCGCATTATATACGCTGACCGTGCCGCTCGAGATAATAGATGGATAACAGAGACTAGATAATAGATATGGCACCGAGGAGAATGATAATGGCCGATGTCAAGTGCGAGACGAGACAAGCTGAAGTTATCTAATGTAAGTGTCGGTGATGTATCGCATACATTCTACTAGTATATTATATGGACCGTTTATTTTGAAAGTAGTGTAAGTTCATTTTTGGAAAAAAGTGAGATACCACGTAATTCGTGTTTAATTTAATGTAAATTTTTTATGTATAATTGATATAATCTGTTTTGATTGACTATACATTGCAATAAAAAAAAGTTCGAAAAAAATTTGTTATACTTATGGCAAGCGGATTTTAATGATTTTTATATTAAATTAAAGTATACTCTTTTGTCTACGCGTAGAATACCATATCGAGTTAAAAAAAAAAGGAAAGAACTTATGGGACAACCTAATACTAAAGAGAAAATATAAAAAAACGTACGCACAAATACTATATATTTAAAGTGCAATATTTAATATTTTTAACAAACAAAAAAAAAGAAAAAGAATCAAATAAATTTATTGATATAAGTTTGTTGAATTTGTAAAATAATAAAAAAATAATTAATTGAAATTGTCTTAGTCCTGCATCGAATAATCGTTACAACCAACTGGCTATCTATGCCTCTAAGCATTCAAACCGGAAAGGGTTAATGTACCGTCTTCTTCTTCGTCCTCGTCCTCGTCGTCGTCGTCGTCGTCGTCGTCGTCGTCGTCGTCGTCATTGTCGTCGTCATCGTCATCGTCATTGTCGTCGTTATCGTCCTCGTCGTTGTTGTCATGACGTCATGACACGTCCGACATCGCGTGACAAGGTACCACGCGAAGAGATCCATCTCTTTTCCTACCGCGCTTTTAACCGGTACACACTCGACCTGTCCTTCCCTTCCTCTCCTTCCTCTTCTCCCCCTTTACTCCATTTGGCCTTCCTTGGTGCTTGGAGGCACCAAGTGTACCGAAGTGGATAATACGATGGTTAGGGCGAACGACGGACCAGACGAATGCCTCGGGAATTTGCGAGAAGCTAAATGTCGACGACGACGACGACGACGACGACGACGACGACGACGACGAGGACGAGGACGAGGACGAGGACGACTACAACACGACACGCACAACCAATGAACTTTCGGCTTCGTTCTATTTAGATATATATATCTAACATTTTTTTGATATGTATTATAATATAATAGAAATATAATATAGGTATATATCTTCTACAGGAGATGAACACAATATAATGCTTTTGGACAAAGTTTATACCGAACATTACATCAAAATTAAATGCATAAATTATAAGAGTACATTATAATAAACATAAGTAAATACTGAAATCCTTGTAAACATAATTATACTTGTTAATGTATTTTGATATAACAACTGATAATTTATTTCAAAATTAGTATTCCACCGATCAATATAATGCACTATTTTTAATTTGTAATGTATTTATGTATAAGGAAATATTTGTTTAACCTAAATTATTATTACGTAGATAGAATAAATACTCTACATAGATATCCGAATAACATTCGCTTCTATGGGATAGAATTTTCGTGCCTCTGGCCAAACATGAATATGCGATTTCAAATTTTAGTATCTCGTACACGATGTTTCATTACGATGCAAATTATTCATTCATAAGACTTGTTGTATACAGGCATAGAATGCCGCGTTAATGTCGGAATCGTTTTGATGGATATCGCGGCATTATCATTGAATATGCATTCAACAAAGCGTTGAAACTATTATTACCATCGACAAATTTTATCTATGAATTTAACAAAAAGTTCTTATATCAACGATATCCCTTATTATTTATCTTGTCACGTGCAACGGATCAAGGGCCGCTTCAGGATTGCGCTTTTACTCGGAAATGACGATATTTATTTTAATCTGTTTTAGTTACGAAACTTCAACTTCGTTTACCCGTGAGCAGCCTAGAAATTTATTAAACAAATTAAACAAAAATATTTTCCTCGTGCTATTTCGGTTATAGGATTTTAAACATTTTCTTTTGTTACAGATCAATGTGGAAAGTGTCGCGCCAGCACGAAGAGAGTCAATTTGAACAAATACTGCAAAAGAGATTACGGTGAGTGTTTTAAAAAAAAAAACAAAAAAAAACAACAATTCTAAATTAATTTGAAACGGAATACAAAACTGGATAAAATATTTATAAAAAAGAAGGAAATAAAATGTCGGTTTCGGGTCAAAGTTCCTCGAAGGGTTCGAAAAGAGAAAAGAGAAAACGGAGGGATCTACTACATGCAATCCAAACTCGACGATTCGTTTCACTTCTTCTTCCTCTTTCTTCTCCCTTTTCGTTGGTTCATTCGTTCGTTGATGTTATGGTCGTGTGTGCAAGGCGGCTCGTTTAAAAAAGGTGAAAGGCTCGCCGTTTTAGCGAGTAAGACTTTCAATAATAGAAAGGCATGCTTTTGAACCGTGGTCCAGTACGCTGGGGCCACGGTTTTAGGTTCTCCTTCTTTCTCTTTATCCCTTTTTCTTTCTATTTCTTTCTCTCTCTTTCTACTCCTCTCTTCCGTCCATTTGCTTGATTCAGCGCAGATAAATCTTCAACAGGTCTGCACTTAGCTGTCTCCGTCTTGGAATAGAAGCCGAAACGACCACACGACTATCCTTCTTCATTTTGTTTTCTCGTTTTTTTTTTCACTCTCTTTCTGTTTCGTGTCGTTTTGCGGAAGCAAATCCGATAAAAAGAGAATATATCAAAAATAGCATTAACCAGTAACACCTTACTCGTATATGAAGAACACACGGGGACGACTACCAAATTTAATTTAAAAAGAAAACAAAAATAATAGGTTCTTTTATGTATTCAAATTTACGAGTCACGTGTTTGAACCAATTTAATATATATAAACCGATTAAATGAAAATTAATAAAACTATATAGGATGTTCTTCTTAACGCGCGCGAGATAATAAATAAGATGATTTTATTTATTGAAAAGTAACGTTATCATAATAGAAATAATAAAAATGACGATCCGTTATCAAAAATACGTGAGAGTAGGACTTAGATCCTTTCGAATGAAGCATCTTTTTCTTTCCCGATCGAGTATAATAATGAATGGTTCGATCTAAAGTACCGCTTGACGTTGAGTCGGTTTCGACGAGCGCGCACCGGCCATGACCCTGGTCCTTGGCGAAAGGCTAATAGTATCCCTGTCCTGCGAACGACAGGATCGATGGATACGATCGTAATAAGAGAAAGAAAGAAAGAGAAGCAAAAGCTGTTTCGCAGACCGCAACCCTATTCCCCAGACAGTTTTCCTTCGTCTGTGGGAAACCACGACCTCCTTCCAAATACTCGACATATATATCTACATAATATAATATATGTATATAATACTATAATATCGTACGTGTTAGTGCTTGTACAATATAAATATAATAATATATATTATATTATATTAATATATTATATATTATTCTTTTTAATTATATTTTTTTAATTTATTTTTACATTTTCCACACACACACACATTTTTTCCTGCAACTGTTCAAGTAAATATATTCTGTAAGATCGTTTTTATTAATAAGAAACAATTCGTTTTCATTTTTCTAGCTATACTTGGAAGAATAACAGACAGGCACAAGAAAAGCGACGGTTCGCAAAACGGTAGTGGTGTCTCTGGGGCATCTTGGATACGCTTCACATTGAATGTCGATTATATATATAAAAAGAATCCAAATTCAAGGATTCGACGCGGTGATGTTCCGCTTTACGTGCACTCTGCGGATTTGGCCTGTAGATGCCCAAAGATCAAACCAAGCAAGTGAGTATTTCGTTTATTTTATAACGAGTTATAATAAAACACTATTACACATATAAAGGGTGTCTAAAGTTTTTCAACGAGCAAACGATGTCAGAGTATTTTCTATGCACGAAAAGAAGAATATGAAAAAAAAAAAATGTTCTATAAATATAATTCAATTAATTAAAATATTTATTTATATCTATAAGAAATGTATAAGACTCGTTGAAGATTCTGATAACGTAACATTGATCCTCGTTCGTTATGTCCACAGATCGTATTTGATCATCGGCCAAGAAAGTGACGGTGGAAGTCAAGGTGGTCTGACTGTAACGCAAAGATCGATTGTCATCGAGTGGCGCGACGAATGGCATCGTCGAATGCGCCGCTTCCAACGTAGAGCGAGATCATGCCATTGAAGGAGTAGCAAGTCATCGGCACATACGAGGACGTAGAAAGAGGGAAAGAGAGTGTGTGTGTGTGTGTGTGTGTGTGTGTGTATGTGTATGAGAGAGAATGAGAGAAAGAGAGAACGAAGGAAAATTAGGAAGGATTCGCCCCACCACCCACCCCATCTTTAAAGAGGAGCCTGCTACCGTTCATTTTTCTAATCGCTCGTACCGCCCGAGTGTATTGAACGGTTCCACCGATTTTGTGAACGATAAAAAAAAGATAAAATAACAAAAAAAAACATATATAAGCCGAATATCGGTATTCGCGCGTCAGCTCGATTATTTCCAGGGCGAGTATCGATAATCGTGCGTCTTCCATAATCGATATGTGCACCGTACTGTACCGTACCATGCTATGCTATGCTATGCTATGCTATGCTATGCTATGCTATGCCATGTCATGTCATGCCATGCCATGCTATCTCGCACTCGTATACTACCGGCATTATTTGAGAGATGCTACCGATTATATACCAGACAAACAAAAATAAATATACAAGAAGAAAGAGAGAAAGAGAAAGGTTCTAGGGCGATAAACTTTCAAGTGAATTCGAAGCATCAAATTTTGATTAATTCACGGCGGTATGCGACAATAGTAGCAGCAACAGTAGTAGTAGTAGTGGCAGTCTCTCCTTAAATCGTTCTCAATCCTTCTGTCGAAAACAAGCGTGCGAAGTGTGTGAGTGAAAGAGAGAGAGAGAGAGAGAGAGAGAAAAAAGAAAAAGAGAGAAATAGAACATGAACGAGCACGCGATCCGAGAGAATGAATGCGTGTGTAAATGAATGTGAGGAAGAGAGAGAGAGAGAGAGTAAGAGAAACAAGTGGACAAGCTAGTGAAACGAGAAGAGTTTTAAGCGCAAGCAAGGCACGGAATATATTTAGCTGTCGTATATTATCATCAAAGCCATATCGTGCTGTCGGCTCAAGGAGCGAAGAACCGTCGGCTTTGGACACACGTTGGACACGAGCCACGATTACCAGCTCCTCCAACGTCCTCCTCCAACATGCACTTCTCCAAACATCATGCTCCTCCGCTTGCCGGCATTTCGCAGCCAGAGAAAATCGCTTCCTCCTCGTGTTATCTCGCCAATTGCGATTCCAAAGAGACACGATATCTTTTTGCGCATAATATGATATTATATCTACATTTGTTGTACCGATAATAGTTAAGAAACGCAATCGTGACACGTACAGTGAGTCCCAGAAGTATTCGTAATCCCATTGTCAATTTAATAAACAATCAATGTTTCATTGTAATAAAATATTTTCAAATTCTTATACACAGAAGCATATTTTAATATTCCGTGTATAAAAATTTCGAAATTTTTACATTACAAGAGAATATTTATTTCAAATTTACAATGAAAACGTTTATGAATACATCTGTGACTCACTGTATATAATATATAATGCAAAGAAAAAAAAAACAAACTTTTTATTTCAATATAATAAATGTTGAATGAATGTATCAAGTCAAATCGAGGTGTTACTTAACTCTTGTCGGTAGGTTGTTCAGTTTCCGTAAACGAAGTGAAACGATCATCGACTTATATCTATCCTTTATCCTTTTTCGCGATTTTAATGCGAACGATAAAAAGGACGAGCAGCGGCGAAATAAACAAAACCATAAGAATTTCGCAAGTACTGTGCGACCGACTGTAAATGGCACAAAACTACTTCCATATACGCTAACCCCGAGGCCTTTCCTTAAATGCCTAACCATCACCACCACTACCACTACCACTACCAACCTCCTTCTTCCTCCTACTCCGTCTCCTACATCATCCCTTCTTTTTTAATTTATTTATTCTTCTTCGCTCGCTTACGCGACGATAACGCGTCGACACGACACGAACATCCTACGCTCAACACGCACACATACATTCATACATATATACATACATGCAGGGACATACAGGACAGGACAGGTGGACACGGACATACAAGAAGTACACGCATATAGACACGCACACAAACAGCACCAAATAATAAACAACAAAAACAAGAACAACAAAGATAATGATTACACGCGTTCGTTGAATGTAGATTTTCTTGTACATTTTCTATATAAATTATTAAGACCTTTTTCTAGCTGATATTATGTATTATTAATGACTTACTTATGTAGATGAAAATAAAAACGGTAGAGCGAGAGAAAAAGAGAGAGAGAGAGAGAGAGAGAGAGAGAAAGAGAGAGAGGCTAAGCAGCCGAAGAAGCGCGTCGCAATATAAACTAAATTACACTGCCTTTTATCGATCACTGCCGACGATCGTCCGTTTCACAGGGATCGATGGATCGATACGTCGAAACGTGAAAGAAAGAAAGAAAGAAAGAAAGAAAGAAAGAAAGAGAGAAAGAATATCAATCAGAATTGTTTTATGATCGATCGTATGCATTCTTCGAGTCTACGTTCATGCGTGAAGTAAAAAAAGAAAAAGAAAAAAAGAAAAAAAGAATAACAAGGAAGAAATGAAGAAATTTGGCCGCCGCGATTGTTGAACGAAAGGACGCGCTTATGTTAGATCCGATAAAAAGGACGTTTAAAACATCGATCCTTGATAATCGGTAAAAAAAATCAAGTTCCTAAGCACGACGATCGTTACCTTTCTTAGTGCAAGGAACAATAAAAAAGGCCGTGTTTAAATTAATCGGAAGGAAATAAGCGTATACATGTATTTAGCTTCGCGTATAAAATGACAAAATCTATAATAAGAAACGCTACTTTCGATCGGCGACGTTCATACGTACTTACTTATATTTGCTCTCTAATCGACGATCGAGAAGAAAAACAACAAAAAAATAACAAAAATGTGTATCGTTTAAATGGGCAAAGCGCGTATTGAAGGGTTGCGATTTTCGTAAATCCGCTTCGAATACGATAATGCGATAAGCGACACGTGCGACTGGTTGCAAGGCGACGCGAGAAGCAAAAATGCGACCGTTTTAATTAAAAAAGAAATACAGAAAGAAAGAGAGAGAGAGAGAGAGAGAGAGAGAGAGAGAGAGAAAGAGAAAAAAATTACAAAAAAAAAAAAAAAGAAGAATGAAAAGTAAATTAAGCAAGCAAGATCCGATTCGGTCTATCTCCGTCGTCTACGCTAGAATTACATGTATAAAATGTACCAACTTAAGATAACACTATTTAGATTTTAAGATTCAAGAAAAAGTTATATCGTATATTTACCGCAGTTTAGCGGCCGACAGGTAGTAACAAAAGAAAATGGGAGAAAAAATAAAAGGAAGAAGAGTAGATCAAAATGGCGCGCGATCTTCCAATCAATTTTCTTCGATCGTATTTTTTGCAATCGTCGATCTTCATACGTTTTTTTTTTTTTTCTTTTATAGATCTTTTCAATCATTTAATTTGACTTTATCTTCTTTATTTCAAGAGAGAGAGAGAGAGAGAAAGAGAGAGAGAGAGAGAGAGAGAGAGAAAGGAAGAGATTTGGATTTTTTACAAAACAATGGAGTCATTCGTTAACGCGAAAATAAATTCAATAATTCTATGATTTAGTCTATCATTTGTTTGACGATTTATTCAACAATTTATGCGACAACGATTGACTGATCGCTTGCGTCCATCACGAATAAATGGAAACGAATGTTAAAGGATTTCCGATCATGCCAATATATCGTAGAATATACGCGATGTCACATTAAGTGTGCTATTTATACCTCCAAATTATTATATCGATTGCTACTACTGTACCACACAATTATGAAACTTAGACGCGATTAAATTATTAGATGTACCGTTGTGTATTGTGGTGTAATAAATGTGACTAGTTGTATGAGAAATAAAATCCAATGCGTATAAAATAATATCTTTAATCCCTTTCCAATCAACTCGTTTAAAAAATAATTTAAAAAATTTCAAACTAAAACAAATATACTATCTTAMAAAAAAAAAAAAAAAGAAATGTAAAATTTTATAATATTATTTAATATTATTTTTTTTTCAATATTGTTTTTTGGTATTAGTAACGCCACGTAGAGAGACAAATAGAAAAGTTAATAATCGATAAACTTATCGACTGTAGTTAATCAATTGATAAAAATTAACCAAGTTATAAAACATATAAGATAAAAAGAAATCTACAATACCATTGAGACCTATCGATAATTGCATTGACTTAAACCTACATGGATAAGAAAGATCTACAAGGGATCACTTGCAACATTAACGACGGATCATCGAAAATCAACTTAAACCTTTATTCTTAAAAAAATTTAAACCGTTTATATAAAAAATTGGGAGAAAATTATACACCGAATTTAAATTATTCAAAATTATTGCAATAAAATTCACAAATAGACTTTTTTTTCTTCGATGTTCTCTACATTGTAATTTATAACCAAAATGATTAATTATACATAATTATGTTCCCTAAAATTTATATATATTTAATTATTAATGTATAAACATGTGTGTGCCTTCAGAAATGCATTAATACGTATATTTTAAAATGAAGCAATTTAAGACACACAAATAAAAAAGAATCCAGAAGGTTTGTTGATAAATCCAACGATGATCACCTGTAACAAAAAGCAAAATATATTAATCATACAATCAAGTGATAAAATAGCCTGATATATAAATCGTCCAATTCACAGATGCACTTTTCAATTGAATTCTATATTTATTTTGATCAAATCTCTATTAATCGTTGCAATGAAATTAAATTTAAACGCGTGGTTTTACATTTACATAAAATAAATAAAAATAAAGAAATAGAAAAAGTAAAAATACTAAGTTACTAAAAAAAATAATATCTATTAATTATTGTGAAATACTTTTAAACTGTATTATATAGAAAAGAAAAATTGTAAATTTAATAAAATACGATTAAAGTGAAAAATTTTAAAGACGAAACAAGAAAAGAGAAATAACTGTAACATTTACCGAACGTTATAAAAATTTTAATATTTTTGACTCTAACTAAAAACATATGCATCTTTATGACGATTTTGATGAACACAGATTTGGTATCCCAAGGAGATGGAATGGTCCATCATCTCCAATTACAACTACAAATTAATGACGAGCAGAAAATAATATAATAAAATATAAAATATGACTAGAGAGCTATTCTCGAAAAGTTCGAACTTGCTGTTTGAACTTTTAAAAATAACTCAATAGTCTCAATAGTAGTTGCCCACTTGATACCACACATTTGTGGGGGCCTCTTCAGCATTAGCCTCTTCGGCATTGAGCCTCTTCTTTCTTCATGCCCTAAACTCTGCTGTGAGGCTTTTTCAAAGCGCATTTTACAATACAAATCGTACAGTTATATTTACTCGAATGCCTGCCTCAACAGATATTTGATCTAATCGATGAACCTAGTATTAACACTTTGCATTTAAAAAATTAAATAATATCAAACAAAAGCAGAAACTTTGTCATACATCTTATGGTCTTACTTTTTTACTCGACCACTTTTATCTTTTATCTTTACTCTACTTTGTATTTACTATGCATATATAACAAATGAAGTATTTTCAGTAGGAATTACTAAAGAGCAAAGCGTTAATATACTTAATATTAAGTAAGTATCCAACGTATTCAGCTATCTTCACTTTTTCGAAAAAAAATTAATTTTTAAGAAAACGCAAAGACTTTTGAATCGTTCGATACTGATTTATAATATCTCGCGGTACACAGTATCAGCAATATATGGAAAAAATAAAAGAAATATTTAAATGATAAATGAATCTAAAGGTTGCTGAAACTTTGTATAATAYYCGRAGAARRWATTKTCCACTCCTGAGTGGAAATTACAATCGCGCGACTTCTCCGGTCTCTACCTACTTACAAATTAAATAAACATTCACACCTAAGTATGCTACCTGCTTGTCTATTACCCATATTTAAAAAGATCAAAGATACATACATACCCACCCACACACTCCACGATTCTCTCACATACCACCAGGGTGCAAAATCCTAAACTAGAGAGCATGCCCCGGGGCACCCCCGACACCCTAGTTCAAACGCGTGTTTTCTAAACTTATGGGAGTACGTACCAATGCTGTAATCGTCAGCCAAGGCTAGTGATTATTGCATAAATGACTAATACAAAAATACAAGTATAAACTAGTATATATGCATACTAGTTATATACGAGTATATCATATTTTCCGCAAATAAATGCAGTAAACTCTACTATGCAAAACAATTGTTAAAAAAAAAAAATTTCGTATCGTACACGGGACTCTACAAGTTATTTTTATTCAATAACTTTAAAAAATAATAAGCGCGGTATTACGTATCGCGAAACGATGTACAATGCACACACCTAACGCATATACAAGTGCAATGTACACCGTGCAATCACTAGCACAATGACAGCCGCCAATAGGAGGGGAAAAACTTAAAACTAAACCCATACTAACCGTTTCTCACCCATACGTGTAACACCTGGGCACACGCATAGATGAGAACGCAGAAAGTATGGGGGGAGAAACGGGAGATTAGTGTATTAGAAGCTGAAAATCCT